ACAGAGGCTGTGTGTGTGACACAGCAGCAGCACACGGCCAGGCCCTGCTTTCTGAGTTGGGTCTGGGCACTGGGCAGCTGTAAGGTAGCAGGACAGGTTGGGATCAGCACTCGCTCACTTGCATGTAGTGGGGACTTCCCAGGTGCAGACAAGCACCCTAGTCTGCCTGGCTCGCTCCCATCTCTCCTTGCTCCCTCTCCTTGGACAAATTTGGAGACCTAAATGAACAGCGACTGGGCAAGTGAAGGAGCCCCTGCCCCTCCCCCCCACACAAAAGGAGTTGTGGGGAGAGAGCCAGGCTGTCAGATGGAGTCAGAGAGGGGCTCAAGAACTTAAGTTACAAGTAGCCTGGAGGACCTGGGGGCTGCAGGCAGGCCTCTGCATGAGATGAGACCCCTGCAAACTGTCTGAGATGGGCTAGGCTGTGGAGACCTGATGCTTTCCCCACCATCATCCAGTAGCCTGGTCCCCAGGCAGAGGTATGGAGAAGGCTAGAGTAGAAAATATCACCTCTCAGGCCAGAAGAGCCTAGCTCCAGGCCCCACTGAACTCAGTGGGACTAGAAGGCTTCCCCATAACAATGGACACTCTCACCTCCCTTCTCAATGTGAGGGCTCCTGCTGAGGTGACTGCACCAGCCAGGTTTCTCATCTATGCTATTTTTAGAATCTAGCATCTCTCTTTCTATTAGAATTATTATTTAGGCAGAGTATTACCATGACATCAATGTAACCATACATTCCTTTATTAAAGCCAATGGCTGAACTGTGTTTGCACACTCGCTCTAAGAAGGCATCAAAAGCCTAAATAATCAATTCACTACTTTCAAACAGCAACAAAACATTGATAAGCCTTTGATCCAGATACTTACAAATGGACTAAAGCAAGGGGTGCTTAGCCTCCTATTGGTCAGCTCTAACTTGATCAGGCAGCTATTAGCAATGAACCTTGTAGAAGTTTACTTGTTTATATCCTTTAGCAAACAAGTGACATCATTGCCAGAGGCCAGATGAAGTTTCTTATATAGCCAGATATTTACTGCACCTGGTACCCAACTAACAATGTTTTATTTCTATTATTTTAACCCAGACCTTAAATAAGACTAGCTGGCTGTGCTCGCCAACTCCCCTATCTCTGATCGCTTTTGCTTTCATGGTCAGAGAGAGTGATGACATCATTCTGTC